GAAAAAGTAGTATTGGAAAGATTATCTAAAGATTTGGAATTTGGGATTTAAAACGACTCAAATAGATTTCTCACTTTTTGCCTGCCACAATATATTGATATAAGGAATACAGCCATATCTGAGTCATAAAACTTCATATCTGAGTCATAAAATTTCATAGAAGTAACACTTGAATAAATTTGCTTTTGTTTTAATGAAGTAAAGTAGTTTTATTTAGAGAAATGTAAGGGGAGAGAGGGCAAAATAGAGAGAGAGAAGTGTGTGTGTGTGAGAGAGAGACATGTTGAACAGATAGTAGGATCACTTAATAGCTGAAAAGCCAAATAAATTCTTTCTTTTTTTTTTTTTTAATAGATCTAGCTTTTTCTCCTACTGGTTTTCTCCTGAGTTTCCACTATGATACGTTTTTTTCTTTTTAACTAGCATTCAGTTGCCTCTTTGACCTTCATACCTCTTTGATAACAATTATTTTTCTTTATCCTATTCTGCAAAATCTATAACATCACAGTATATATATATGTATACATTTGCTTTTTATGGCGGGGTGACACATAGCAATGCACAGGAGCTACTCCTGGCTCATGTACTCAGGAATTACTCCTGGCAGTGCTCAGGAGACAATATGGGATGCTGGGAATCGAACCCGGACCATCCGCGTGCAAGAAAAATGCCCTACCCACTGTGCTATCACCCCAGTCCAAGAATATATATTTTTAAAGACCCAGTCTTCTCCATTTAGTATTTTGGGGGTGGAATGGGAAGTGCTTCTCAGGGGTTATTCCCAGCAGTATTCAGAGTACTATGTGCAGTGCTGAGAATCAAAACTGGGGTCAGCTGCAGGCAAGCCAAGCACTTTACATCCTATGTGCTGGCCTGCTTCTTCTAAATCATCATCAACCAACGTACATCATTTATTTATTTATTTATTTTCTTATTGTGTTTTCCTCTTGGACCATACTCAGCATTGATGCTCAGGGCTTGTTCCTGGCTCTCAGCTAAGAGCTCACTCCTCTGTTAGGATTTGACAAAATCCTGTTCGGATGCTATGGGGTGAAGGGAATCAAACCCGTGTTGGCTACCTGCAAGGCCAGTGCCCTAACTCACTCTCTGGAGCATTCATCATTTTTAGAGGTCCAAAAATAGAAATACTTTGAACTTTAGCAACTGCTTCTAAAGCCATCACCTCTGCCAGGTTCTGCTGCTGTTCCCCTCACCCATCTCATGCCTCAACTCCTGGGGGATTACCAAATGCACTGTAGGAGAGAAAGGTTGGGTTGTACTAACAGAAACGGGAGAAACTTAACCTTTTGGCAAACAGTTGATAGATATGAAAATAGAACCTGGCAAATACATCCAGTTCCCCATCACCTCTCCTCAAAGGACCTCACTAAAGTCAATATCACCTTAGCTCCCATGACAACTCCCTGACCAAGATAAATAGGTGTCAAATATGCTTTTGCTCCTAAGACCTCTGGGCACTGGGAAAAAACACAAATGCAAAACTCAGGCAGAGTTTACCTCCTCAGATACCAATTAATAGAGAAAAAAAAAAAGAAGAATCTCACAGAAGGCAGGATTGCCAGTCCAAACTGTTAGTTTTGCTTCTCTGGTCTGCCACTACCTTCGGAAAAAAGAAGGCTGATAAAAATTAAGCACGTTGTTTCTATTGGCATTTTCACACTCCGTGAAACCCAGGCTCTGTTTAGAATGCAAACAGGATTCCAGAGTTACAGGACGTTTGAGGGGTGCGTGCCAGTGCAAAGATTTATGCTCACAGAAGTGCCATCCCCACATTTCGGACTTGGTTGAAGTCTATGCGTGAGTGACTCAGGACTTTCCTTTGAAGAGAAGAGAAATGCCTGGCCAGGTTGAACCATGCTGTCTGTCCCTCTACAAAAACGCTTCTAAAGCTCTGGTTTAATGCAGGCGCAACCCTTCTGTTTGGTAGGGGTAGCGTCTGCTGAGGAGATCAAAGGAGGTAGCAGCAGCTTTACTTTGTCACGCTTGCATCTTCAAAATGTGTGATAATGGTGCAACTGAGAGTCCAGCTGATAAGGTTCTTTCCTTACCCATGGAGGCTGACCCAGGTTGGATCCCTGACACCCTATATCCCTTTAGTCCTGTCAGGAATAGGTCTTGAACATAGCTGGATGTGGCCCCCAAACCAAACTAAACCAAAATCATAATGTAATGATGCAAAAAGGGGGGGGGGTCATTCCTTGAAAGATAAATTCCAGCAAATTGTATGCATGCTTGTTTTGTACTGCAGTCATTCAGAGTTAAGCTCAAACGGCCAGGAAGATACTCAGCCTTGTATGTAGAGTTAAACTTTAAGGGTGAGGAAGTTGATCAGCTTTGAAAGTATGAAGACCCACACTTAATCCCCAGTACTACTGGGTATAACCTCAGTATAATCCTCACCACCACCGGACCCTCACATTGAACCACTAGGTATTATTGGGGAGTATCTATGGGAGTCTACCTCCCAGGCTCCCAAGCACTGTTTAGAAGTCCCCTCGCCAAAGAGAAAAAGAATTAATCTGTAATTTGAATGGTCTCTGTCTGCTGGTCTTGTTTTTCCCTTATTTAAAATGGGAATGATATTGGGTCTGGAGGGATAAAAGAGCAGGTAAGATGCTTGCTTTGCAAGCTGTGAACCCAGGTTTTTTTGTGTGATCCCTCTCAGCTCTGCCAGGTGTGATCCCTGAATACAGAATCAGGAGTCAGCTCTCAGCACCACTGGCTGTGCTGCCAAATAAATAAATAAAATGGGATTGACTTTAAGTGAAATAAGTAAAAAAAAAACCAAAAACAAACAAATAAACAAACAAAACCCCTCCAGATGGTCTCACCTGTGGTCTATAGAGAAAACGAGGGGAGACAATCTTGGATGATGATACTGCCCGGGTCTTTGATTCCTAAACTGAGACAAACAAGTAGTTAGGGGACAGAGAAGGGAGAAGGAACATGCAGATAAGAAGGAGATAAGGATAGTGATGGAAGATTTGGGTACTTTGGTGGTGATAAAAGTGTAGGGTTCTTTTTTTTTTACAGTTGCAGACTTACAAATTTTTGTGCTTGGGTTTCGATTATACAATGCCCATTTTCCACCACCATGGATCCCAATATCCCTCCCACCCCCATCTTCCCCACCCCACCCTGCCTCTGTGGCAGGGCATTCCCTTTTGTTCTCTCTCTCCTTTTGGGTGTTCTGGTCTGCAAAAGAGGCATTGAGTGGCAATCATGTCCGGTCCATAGTCTACTTTCAACATGCATCTCCCATCCTGGGAGGATCCTCCAAACACCCTTTATTTGGTGCTCCCTTTTCTATCTGAGCTTCCCTTTCCCCTAGAATGCCCTGGTGGCCTCCAAGCCATGGAGTAATCCTCCTGGTACTGATCTTGGCTATTCTTGGGAATTAATCTCCTATTTTGTTAAAAAGTGTAGGATTCTTACACATGAAAATTGACACTGTTTTAACAATTTTTTCCTAAACTATACTTAACATGAAATAATAAAATAAAGTAAAATAAAATGGAGATGATTAAGTAGTAACTATTCTGTTGAACCCAACTGAAGATTAAAGAAAACCATTCATGTAATTAGAGACCACTGCGAACGAATAGACCTGTCCTCTATATAGACATGACCCTTTTTCTGTCTCAAGTTCATTATTCATGTAGAAAGTACTCAAGTCATATCTTGTATTCTAAATTCACTCTCTGAGAAGGCAGATGTTGAAAGCGAGGAAAGGAAAGAGAGATTTTTGTCAGTGCAGTGTCCTATTTTGTCCACATTTCTGAAGAGCAGTTCCTCTCCCTCCAGAAGGAAGTAGCTTGGAGGGAAAGGAATTGGACGTGTGCTCGAAATTAGAGCACACATGTTAAAGAAGAGAAGTAAGAACTTTTCTTCCTCTAGCTGGCCTTCCTTTGATGGAGTTAAATCAAATAGTTTCAACTTCTTTCTTGCACTTTAGGTAGAATCCCAAGTTCCAGAATAATATGTTGGCTTACTCATGGAGAGTTAGGTGTCCTTATGAGGCAAAGTGTGATAGAGAAGGAACGGACAGAGACAGAAGTCGTGTGTGTGTGTGTGTGTGTGTGTGAGTGTGTGTGTGGTGTGTAGTGTGTGTGTGCGCACATGTGCATGTGTGTGGTAGGGAAGAGGAGAGTGGAGATTTAGGAGGGAGAGGATGGTGTAAGTGGGGTGGAAGGTCAAATCTGGCTGTGAAGTTTACTGACTCATGACACATAACCCTTGGCAACTGCTGCCACATGAACTTGAAGACTTAGTGCTGGTGCTTAGCACCTCCAAGTGCTAGCTTGGAGGGAAAATCATTTTTGCGCTGTTGTAGTTCCTGACTTGAAGAAAATTGTATTTATGGTTATCAAATCCCACAGATGATAAAAGATTGACAAGCTCTCTGAATATGTGTGGACTCAGGTCACACGGAGTTGATATTTTTTTTCGAGGAGGGTGAAGTACCAAGCTCTGCTTTCTTATTCACATCCTCTAGCTGGAAAAGCAGGACACTGGAATAAATCGTAGTCTATAAGAATCTCTCTGACCCCTGAGAAGCAGAAAGTGAACATCTTCTGGGCCAGAGAGATCATTCAACAGGTCAGGTGTTTGCCATGCTGATGGCAATCCACAGGACCTTATGTGGTCTCTTGAGCATTGCTAAGGGTCATTTCTGGGCACAGAGCCAGGAGTAAGTCCTGGTCAATGCAAGGTCTAGTCCAGATGTGTACATTGGCATCACTAGATGAAGTTGATTATGGATATGTATCATCAGAAATTTTCCTTTTGTGGAACTGCTTTTCTTGTCTAGATTTTACACATTTCTTAAAAGTCAAATCTAAGAGGCTAACTGCTAAAGGCTCTTTCTCTTCCGGGTGCTATGCTTCACCATGTTCTCTCTGGCTTCCCTGCCTGTCTTTCTCTAAATATTCAAACTGGCTGAAACAGCAGAACTCATCTGTCTTCCTGTCCCCAGTGGGCACTATTTGAATTTTCTCTCCTTTCAGCGTGTCATCCTTGCGCAGGGGCCATGCTAATCTTCTCTGTATTGTTCCAATTTTAGTATATGTGCTGCCGAAGGGAGCATAGCATAGCAGTAGGGCGTTTGCCTTGCACGCAGCCAACATGGCCGACCCGAGTTCGATTCCTCTGCCCCTCTCGGAGAGCCCGGCAAGCTACCGAGAGTATCTCGCCCGCACGGCAGAGCCTGGCAAGCTCCCCGTGACGTATTCTATATGCCAGACACAGTAACAACAAAGTCTCCAATGGAGATGTTACTGGGCCCGCTCGAGCAAATCGATGATCAATGGGAGGGCCTTTACCTTTACCTTACCTTACCTCCTTTCAGCAGTCGCCCTGCTTTAGGGAGCATGGAAAAGAGAGGCCCTCTGAGCAGCTGCTTTGAGCTTCAAAAGATGGAGACTCCAAAGCCATCAGTCTCCCACTGGATCCCTCGCTTAAAAGGCAACAAAATTCTGAGTTGGATGCATTATGCATTTTTTTTAAATTCTCCTTCCTCACACCCGCCTCCAAATGAGGATGTTTATATCTTTGCTGAAATTATCAAAACGACCCAGGTAGAAAAATTTTCCATGACAAGTCTTTGTTCCTGTCATGTCATTTTAGGTGGAATAAATGAACAGGATCTGATCACAGTCTGGGAAATGTGACATAATTCCTGAGTGATGTCAAACATCTCTGCCCTGCCTTCGCTGCTCTATGCAAAGCATGTCTCACGAGGCTCCCCATCTCTTTCCACATCCCACAGCACATCATTCTTTTTTTTTTTCCTTTTTGGCTCACACCCAGCTATGCTCAGGGGTTACTCTTGGCTCTGCACTCAGTAATTACTCCTGGAGATGTTCAGGGATGACAGAGATCGAATCTGGGTTGGCCACGTGTAAGGCAAATGCCTTACCTGCTGTACTATCACTCCGGCCCCAGCACATCATTCTTCCGGTGTTGGCAGGGCTGCTTTGAAAGACCAGAATGAAAAAAAATTAAAAAATAAAAAAAAAGAAAAAAGAAAGATCAGAACAATACATAGAAGACAAGCATATCTCACACTCAGACTCCAGAAAATTCCAGCTGGTCTGTGGGTGAAGGTAGTTTTGTGTCAAAGTTCAGCTGCCAGGTGTCTGTGCTCAGACAGTGGCCTCTGGAAATTTTCTAGATGGACTTCTGCCTAATTTCACAGTCGAGCCATTGGGGAGAAAGAGACTAACATTCTCCAACCCTCATCTGGGCCTCGTCATCCTTCTGTGTGGTTTCGTTTCTATTACTCAATTCAGGCACTTCTCCATGGCTTACAACAGGCCTGATGTTCTACATGAATAATTGGTGGGTTTAAAAGGAATAGATTTGGGGGCTGGAGTGATAGTGGGTAGGGCATTCGCCTTGAACGCAGCCAACCCAGGTTCAATCCCTGGCATCCCATGTGGTCCCCCAAGCACCACCAGGAGTAATTCCTGATTGCAGAGCCAGGAATAACCCCTGAGCATTGCTGGGTGTAACCCAAAAAGCAACAAATAAATAAACAAATTATAGATTTGCCATACAGATACTGAAAGTTTATCATGTATCAGTATCTGTATTATGTACTGCAAACCATAATGCCCAAAAGGGAAGAGAGAGAGAGTGTGTGTGAGAGAGAGACAGAGACAGAGAAAGAGAGAAGAAAAGTGCCTGCCATAGAGGTGGGGTGGGGGTGCAGGTGTGGGTGCGAGAGGGAAACTGGAACCATTGGTGGTGTCATACACGCTGGTGAAGGGATGGGTGTTGGAAGATTATATGACTAAAATCCAATCATGAACAACCTTCTAAGTATGTATCTCACTGCAATTCGATTTAAAAAAATAATATTTTTAAAAACTATAGTAGAACATATACAATTAAAAGTAGTTTTTATTTTCAAAAGAGATAAAAGTAATAGATTGAGTGCAAATGAACAGAGTTGTTGTAAAACAAAAGTTGTTATAAGGCAAAAATCTGACATCTATGGGAGGGGAGTTTCTCTTGAAAACTGGTAATACCTGTATCCAAGGTTCAGGAGGAGCTGGTGAAGTTCTCACTACCTCCTTGGGATGTCGGAAAGGCCAGCATCTTAATTAGATTGGGTGGGATCTGGGTGCCTAGAACTGTACTCTGGACTCATAGGCCTTAGTTATTCTCACAGAACCAGGCAGGCTGTATTCAGCTATTGGTCATCTTCCTAGAAAAATGTGCATGAACCTAAGAATACATGTGTAAATAAATTCAGGATGTTTGCAAGATCTCTGAGACCTAATTTTGGATTAGGTAAAGAAACAGAGAGACAATGTTAACTGTCGAAGGAGAGTCTCAAGCAAAGCTTTCTCATAGACACAAAGGTCCTGCTAGTTTAGAAAGAAGTAACTGTGTCGTTGAAGTAGGAAGTTCTGGTTTTACATTTCTGACTCTGGTGCCCTAATAAGTAAAAGAGAGCTTTGTTAGGTTATCATTTCATTGTGGCTAACACAGTGAAGGCAAGGTGAGGATCGTGGTAATGAGTCTTAAAGAGGAAGCATCTCTCTTCTCTCCCCCACTTCTGTGTCAAAACTTCAATTGCTATGTGTGGAGCATGGTTTATAGACACTGGTGCAGATAAGACCCTTGCAAAGTGACCCAGAAGCAAAGTATCACAAGAGGGAGTATCTGGGCAAAGTTGGCAAGAACAGTGCATCAGCCAGCACCAGGTGTTCAATCTCCTGGTTACATGAGCCCAAGACACAGAAATTGTCACGTATGCTTAGCAAGTCATCCTAACTGCAGCATCTAGCCTTCATTGAGATTGAACCGGGGCAAAGCAGAGTTGGAGAGGTGATAGGCGAAATAATGCTAAACTTTCTGTGATTGAACCATCCTTTTAAGCCAAGACCCCCTATAAAATATGTGTGTAATTGACAATAGTGAATAGTCATCAGCTGATCCTGGAGGGTGTTTCTCTGCGTGCCCATCATCCTTTACTCCACATCAAGCCCAGACCCAGGGCATTTTAGGGATTGAGTTTGTAAAAGGTAAAGCCTGACACTAAATAAAGCCTTTTCTCATCTTTAACTAACAGCTATATTATATAGGATTATGAAGCATAGTAATTGGCACTTTTGCAGATAAACTTGACCTTGCAAAGTGGCCCAGAAGCAAAGCCTCATATGAGGGAGCATCTGGCAAAGTCGGCAAGAACAGGGTGTCAGCCAGCACCAGGTGTTCGGCCTTGAGCCTCATTCCACCTCCTAGTCACATGAGTCCAAAACACAGAAACTGTCACGTACGCTCAGCAAGTCATCCTAACTGCAGCATCTAGCCTTGATAGCGATTGGACCAGAGGAAAAGCAGAGTTGGAAAGGTGATAGGCCAATAATGCTAAGCTTTCTGTGAGTGAAACTTTCTGTAAACCAAGACCCTCTATAAAATATGAGTGTATTTGTCAATAAAGTGAACAACCATCAACTGCTCCTGGAGGGTGTTTTTCTGTGCACCTGTCATCCTTCGCCCCACGTCTGCCCAGACCCGGTGCTCAATGTGTCCGGGCCTGTTGGGGGAAAACTGTTCCTCAACGTAGGATAAATGTTTGGTTCATGGGCTACCACACAAATTTGTTATAAGCATCTCTACTCTGTTTCTCCTGCTTACCTACAAGTCTTATCTCAAACTTCTCAGGTCCCACGTAGGTACATAGGACTCTTCCAAGTCCTATGTACTCACTAAAGCTTTCCTCTAAACATTCTGTATATTAAACCTTAAAATCCTATTTCTGTGTGTGTCATTATGTTTTAATATAAATCATAATTCTCTGTGCTTCACGTCAGCAGTTATTCCTCCTAATTTGACTCTATTTCCACCAAAATTGAAATTCTAACTCATCTACAATCTTCCAGAATCAGTTCTCTAGGGTAAGAGAGATGGTGATCTGGGTAAGGCACCTTAATTGCATGCAGCACCCAATTTCAGTTCAACTCCTGGCACTGCATTTATTCCCCTGAGCACCACCAGGAGTGATTTTTTTTTTTCGCTTTTTGGGTAACACCTGGCGATGCACAGGGGTTACTCCTGGCTCATGCACCCAGGAATTACTCCTGGTGATGCTCAGGGGATCATATGGGATGCTGGGAATCAAACCCAGGTCGGCCATGTGCGAGGCAAATGCCCTACCTGCTGTGCTATCTCTCCAGCCCCCAGGAGTAATTTTTGAGCAGAGACAGAAGCATGGTCCTCTGGATGTGACTCAAAAACCAAAACCTGAGACAAAAGAAAAAAAGAATGACGAGCAGCTCTTCCATCTCTTTCTGCTTCTAAAGTCATTACATTTTAGGTAGAAATGGAAATCATAAAGTTAATTTTCACACTAACCTTCAATTTGTAATATTCACAATATAAAAATTTATGTTTATAAAAAGTATTTTTGTGCATTAAAAGTTTAATCAAATGCCTATTAGATAAAAAGGGGTTCATCACAGACACTGGTCCAAGAAGAAATCATGTGAGAATAAAAAAATGTCATACTAAATACTAAAATACTAAAACATTAATTTGAAAGGATATATGCACACCTATGTCCATTGCCGCACTTAACACAATAGGCAAGATACAGAAGCAATCCAAATACTACAACTATAGATGAATGGATCAAAGAGTCGTGGTATATGTCACAATGGGATACTATGCAGCTCCGAGAAAGAACAAAATCTAGCAATTTTCAACAACATAAGTGGAACTAGAGAAAATCATGCTGAGTATAGTCAGTCAGAAGGAAAAGGACACATGTAAAGTGATATCTCTCAGATGCGAGGATAATAATGCACAGAAAGGGATAAACAAAGGCCCAATAGGCAAAATAATGGGAGAACAGGTTCATGCAACTGAATTGGAGAAGAGCTTGGGAGAGAGAAAGAATACAAGGATGATGAGTGTGATGTTGGAATTGTGTGCATTAGAAGCCGTTACTCTGTAAACCACAGAATCTCAATAACTTTTTTTTAAAAAGGCATACAAAACCTTCAAACCTTCCATAGCAGTCTGAAGCTAGTATTTAATAATTTACTTTTTTAATTATTGTTTCCCAGCTCTATC